CTATGTCCCAGGCGGCGGAAAAAGCCAAAACGCGCTACGTCGTCAACGTGTTAATAAACGCTTTGGTTCCATAAACCCCTCGCTCACTAATGAGCCCCAGGGAAAATTTTTAAAAAGTAGTTCGTCTGAGTCTGGGGCGAACCACCTTGTAATGTTTTACATGTATTTCCAAGAAATTGGTTGTTTGTTTTTGATTTTGTTGTTGAGGTGGTAAACGAGCGGGCTGCGCCACTGGGAAACTTGAGCCATCTACTTTATTACACATTTGGATTGTGCCAGCAGTACCGTCTCAAGACATTTATCTCAAGTATGTCCTTGCGTGAGTAAATTGAACCAATGTTACCATTCATTTTATGCAGTAATCATTCCACTGAAACATTTGGGTTGTGTATTCATAAGAAATGCCGGCTGACCTGAAACCCGGACTGTGAAGAGTAATATTGAGACGATCCTTGCACACATATTTCTGCGTCAAAGGTGCGCTCATGACAATGGATGAGTTGTCCGATTCGAAACTCACAGTGTCATCTGAAATTGCTGGATTTATGATGGTTACTGTATTTTCTTTTCTGAATTTGCGCGTAAAACCAAGGTCTGAAACATAACCACTGCTGGGAAAATCCCTTCAGAAGGTAGAATAAAGTTGTTCTCCTATGTCAACGGGGCGACGTCAATACGGCTAACGAACGCGACAAGGGATCTAGGAACTCGCCAATCCCCGAGATTAGCAACGCACGCTTTAGGCGTCAAGAACGGGCATAACAGACGCTTATCTGTGTCATCGCGTACAGCTTGCTATCTCGCCTCTCCCTCACGATCGGCCCACTAGTTCAGTAGACGATTTGAACGAGCTAGTATGTCGTCAGCAATTTACTGGAGCATGGTTCGGCATGGTCCCATCAAAAATATTGAGGGAACTCGTCCATTCTTCCCTATCTGAGTTGTTGCCCGTGCAGGAAGCGAAATAAATGAACCAAATTAGTGGGTCCCGTTCCGCATCCCCTTGACTGGTTTCGCTGCTTTTTTTGCAGCTGGCGTGAGCACCAGCATGTCCCTTGTAAACATCTCTAGAATATAAGGTAATCACTGTATTTGATAACTAACATTTACTATCAATGGATGTCACTGTTCGGATGCCAAAGACGGATTGAAGTTGAAGAGATAAAGGGAGGGGGGGGATCCTGAACATGGAGTGATTCCAAGGGTTCCTTGCACCTTCTACATAGATGCACATGTGGTAGGCGCAAAAACAAGGTTCATTTCTTCTGCGCAGCATAGTAAAAAGTGTGAGAGCGCAGAATGTATGCTCACATGTTCAAGTTGTTGGTGAGGAACAACTTGTCACAATTGTGCGAGATTTTTGTACTTCTGTGCCATATCTGGTACTTATTTGTGATAAGCTATTTTATGTCATGCTGGGTGCTGGTTGGCACTTTGAAGTCCACTTAGCTTGCGAAGGCGCTCAAGTGCACAGCTGTGGATAGGGAAAACTTGCCATCGTATGTCTCTGAGTAGACCACTTTTCGAAGTTGCCAACGTAGTTCTTCGTATTTCTTCACGAGCACATTCTTCTGAAAAGAAATCTCCATATTGTGGTATCCTGAGATCAGATTCTGAGTGTCTCACCTATGGAGACATAAATTTCGACTGAAAATCTGGTAAAATGAGACCTACATGTCCGAACCGTTTTGATTGATTCATATTTCTTTGTAAACTTTTGTTGAATTCCTTGTGCCTTAATAGGTTACAAGAAGAGAGAAGTTGGAGAATTCTTTGTAAACTGTTGTTTTTCACGGCTGTTGGATGCGAATGCTATCACAATATCCTTCTATTTTATAAACCGCTAACTTGGTGTGTCGGTTTGTATGTCTGTATGTATGTATGTATGTATGTATGTATGTATGTATGTATGTCCGTCTGCAAAATGAAGTGAGTGATAAGAAGCTCATGGTAAACAGCCCGCTAGCACAATCGGTTAGCTCGCAGGGCTTGAGCTCTCGATGTTTTGCGATGGCGTGATTGTGATATCACCCTACGGCTACATAAACACCTATTAATACACTCTCATTCAATCCACATGGAGGCTGGAGGCTAGTGAAGGGGAAAAGGGGAGGAGATTCGTGAGGAGAGAAGGAAAACCAATCCCTAACACTTCCAAGTTCAACTTAGTATTGGAATCCCGTTCTAACGTCATGTCATGAAATGATGATGTTCTTTACTATATGAAACACCTTTTCTGTTTACACGCATCTTTCTCATAAAAAGTAGCATAGGAGGTAGCGCAAGAAAGTAAGGTCCCGGCGGTCGACGGGGGACTAATCTGGTTAACCATTAAACTACGACTTTTTTGAAAATTGAGTTAGGACTGTGTTCTGCATTGCAACCATCCCTCCCAGCAACAGACAACCATCCTTCTATTATATAAATCGCTAACTTGGTGTGTCGGTTTGTATGTATGTGTGTCTGTATGTATGTATGTATGTAAGTTGTCCGTCCGCAATGAAGTGATAAGGAACTCATTGGAATAAACATACCGCTAACAAAATCGGGTAGCTCGCAGGACTTTGACTATGAATGTTTTGCAATGGCATGATTGTGATAAAACCGCAACGACTATATAAGCTCCTACTGAGCACATTGTCGGCCATTCCATTTGGTGCTGCTGTGGCAGCTGGAGGGCAGTTGAGAAAGAAGGGCTAAGGGAGGGGGGGGGAAGAGAGGAGAATCCTCAGTAGAGCTAATGTGAAATACCTTTTCGTTCATAACCTTCCGCTGTGCCCTATTCTACCTGCGGTACCTCCACGAGGTGACGGTGTCACAGGTGAAAGAGGAAACAGCGGAAAGCTTATGCCTACGCAGGAAAGGGAGGCCCGGAAGTTGCCGGGGGACTAATCTGGTCCGTAGAAATATGGCTAAGGTACGTTGGGTTTGACCTGGGATTTAATCTAGGGACCATGCGGCCCGTCTTGTCATCACACCATTTCCGCTCGGATGATTTCTTTCTTGTTTAATAAACTCAGAGTTTAATGAACATTTACAGCCAAACATACAATATTAAACTCTTCAATGATCTGAAATTTTTACAAAAAATGTTTAAAAAGGTCAACATTATATGGTCTATGAATGGTACGGAGTAA